CCTTGATCCCACAACCCTGCTGCTAGGTGTTGTTGGTCTCTAGTCAAGCCACACAATGTTTGCTTTGGCGCTTGCGGTTCGAAGAGGCGTTTTGGCGCAGGGATCCCCGCGTTTTTTTTCTTCTCCATTTACAGGACGTTTTGAGGATGTGTTTTTTTGGGAGCGTTCTCGAGTATCCGTGTGAAAAGAGTTTTGCTCAAGAGGTCCGTCTTTCGCAAGAAAACATCCGTGCCCCCGAAACTGGGGACATGGACGGAAAAAATGATCCCACCCAACAGGATCGGATGTCAGAGCCAGTGCCGATCAGCACACAAGGAATACAGGATTTAAACAAGGAGTTTGCGGTTGACATGAACCCTCCAAGAAACCATTCGGATTGGAGCCCTCTCCTTGCCTGGGACCCCTTTTTAGGGGAGCGAGCCATTAGCAACAGGCGCCTTCGGAGGTGCTGGTGCGTGTGGGAGATGCTCGGCTGAGAGGGAGGGTGGTTACAAAGGGGCCGATAAGGACAATGGGGAGGTGTGGGGCGGGGTGGAGTTGGGGGTTGGTTTGTTTGCGTGTTTGTTTTATTATGTGTCTTTATTTACATATATTTTGGGGGAGGGCAGTCCATGAAATAAAGATGACCCCTGAATCACTTGTCCAGATGTGAATTTGTCTTTTTCCGAGGAAAATTGTGTTTGTTCCTTTTTTCCCTTGAACCCCCAGTACCAACCCAAAAAAGACGAGGCAGCCCATGTATCCTTCAAGGGACTGCACATGGTCTGCACCCATCCGAGGATGCCCTGGGCGCAGCGGAGCGCGCCATGCGCAGCGCTCTGCCCTGGGAGCTGAAGTCTGTAGAGGCGCTCTCCATGTGAGAAATGGGTTTGTTGTCTTTTGGGAGTACTTCTAGGTCCCCCAGTAGTGCCCTTTTACCCTTTTTTGGGGAGGGTTCCACTACTAAAATAGACATCAGAAAAAAAGGGTACCCTTGTTCTAACCTCTCTACTGGAAAACCTAGAAATGTACCCGTGCGCGTGTGTTTTGTTTCTCTCTTTCTTTTTGTTTTCTTTTTGAAGGGGGGGAGGAGGGAAGCTGGGTCTTTTTTTTCTTTCTTTTTTTCTGAAATGGGGGTTCCTTGGGTTTCCCTGTTAAGCCGCCAATGGGGTACCAACTCAAAAACAGGAACACCCAAATGGGTCTGTCTTTTTTGAGGGTACTTGTACCTGTGTGTGTGTGTGTGTGCTTGTTTTATCTTGTTGGGGGGGTGAAGGGAACCCACAAGAAAAAAAAGGACCATAAACAATGGCACAGCCAAACGGGTCCCTTTTCAACACTCCAAGACCATACGGAAATCAACCAAACAGATTGGCTCGTTTTGATTCCTTTGATCATCCAGCCAAGTGTTTGGACCCGAGATGTCATGAGAACAGCTCCCCTTTATTGGGGATAGACAAAATGATAGGCGGCAATCCCCGTGAAGGGAAGCAGAATTGGGACGAAGCATGAGTTGTGGGGCACCCTCTCTTTCAAAAGGAAACCAAAGGAATGGTTTGCCTGTTTGGTGGGTTCGAGTCAGATGAGACGGTCCCAGAAGGGCCCCCAGTTTCACACAGAGACACACACACATGCAGGAACACAGGGCTGAAGACAACAAAGAACAAAGGATTGAAGGAACACAGGGAACGGAGGATTGAAGGAACAGAGGGAACTGAGGGTTGAAGAGAATAGAAGGAACAGACGGGGACAAAGGTTGAAGAGAACGGAGGTGACAGAAACATGGGGGCCCCCTTATTCCGAATAAACGTGTTTGTCAAACAAATCCGGCGTCAAAGAAGGTCCAATCCCCAATTTGGACATAATGCCAAGGGCATGGCATTACCTTGAAGTAGGGACCCTTGGCTGGATAGCTTGTCCAGAGGCAAACGTGAACCAACTGTGCCCGCCTGTCTGCCACTGATCGAAAGGGTTTCTGCACCTACCGGGGGTCCCTTATGCACAGAATCAACACTTCCTCTTTTGATAGCCATAAGTACAAAAGGGCTTGTGGTTACTTAGAGGTCCATACAGGCGCTGGCCTTGCTTTTGAGGTTGATGAGTTTTCTGGACTTCTACAGGCAGATTCCATGTTGCATTTGCACCTCTAAATCTCCCGGAGCAAGTGCCTGGAAGCCTTGGGGCGCAGGGGCGCATGAGCTGTTTGGTGAGACACTGGGGAGCTTGGATTTATCTACCCGTGCCATTACATTGGCTGCTGAAATCCGGCAAAAAGCATCCTGTGCATGTCTTGAGAACCGCTTTTTCGCCCCCTTCCGACCATCTCACATTGCTTCATGAGCCCGAGAACCCCCAGGCACCGAGAATCGATGGATTGCTGTTGGCGGGTGTCTTGCTGGTGCAAGAGATGCAGGGAATGAGAATTGGAATGACCCCTATTTAAACCATCCAACTGGTGGTTTCCGTTGTGCGGAAATCCCTGGGTTCATTCCCACATCCCCTACTTATCGCGCCAGAAAGGCTTCCAAACATGACAAACAGAAGCAGAATTCAATGCATCTTGGCGCCGGCACAGTCCATGCGTCAGACGTAGCCCGCCGGTGGTTGCAGCAGGCAATGCTGCGGTCGCTCCTTGAGGAGGCATCGGGCTGCAGGAGAAGAGTTGGAGGATCCAATGGCCACTTCAGATGACGAAAACCTCGGACGAACATCAGGTACTGTAGGTGTTCAAAAACAATTCTCAAGGAGTCAGTCAACCTTTCTAGGGTGGGCATTATTGTGGCAGCGACATGTCTATGTAAACATTTGAGTGTGGTGGCCTAGGATCGTCGCAACTGCTTCACATGTGCTAGGAACAGTCGTGGTTGCCAAGAGAGCGTTCCTCGCTTGAATTGAATAATTGGGCACTAACCAAACCCTAGGAATCAACAGATTTGGTTCGGCACCTGTTTTGCACGGATTGTCTTGTGTGCCTGAGATCGTGTTGCATGGACCTATGGACCTGGCAATGTGAAAGCCGCCCAATGAGGGTCCCCTTTTCACCCGGGAGGGGCAAGGCTGATCCGTTCCCAGGGGCATCTTGCATGTCAAGCTGCCATGGACGCACCCGAGCGGGGTTTGTGCTGGGTAAAGGAAAAAAAATCCAACTCAGGGGACTTGTCAGCCCAGGGATGTTAAACAGTCAAGCAGTTGCCAATGGGGTCCTTTGAGTATTTGGTGCATTTTTCGGCATGAACAGAGCCGAAGCAGGGTGCATTCACCAAAGTACCTCTGGTAAACGGAGGCTCGCTTGTCAAAGCCCCATTTTGTCTGGGGCAAATCCAATAGGGCATCGCATACAATTTCTTACAGGGGTTTTCAGCATACTGACAACGCAATCTAGCAAAGCTAGAGAATGGACGTACCGGGCTTGCATCTTGATGTGTGGTGCGACAGGAGCTTGCCACACTGGATATGCATTGGTTTCTCCTTTCTTGTACACTTGGGACCACCCCAAAGAGTTGCCCCTCAACTGAGGAAGTGAGGCCTTGCAGTTGATCGTTGGCCCACTACACAGGTCGGTTTATTCTCAAGCTGACGCGGACTTTGCAGCAGCAACCGATGGGGGCGGACTTGCCTGCAGGTCACCCGCAAGTGCCGTGACGCAGAGGCGTGATGAGAGTGCGTTGATGCGCCACCTTGCTCCTCATCAGTGTTCATGCAGGCAGCTAAGGCAACACACGTTGGGGGCTGGTCTTCAACCCTAACCTTCTTGCTGTTGTGCCCACAGAACTCACCTGTCAGCCTCGTGGCTCACACCATCACTTCCGCCTTTGGGTTTAAACAAAGGTTCAAGCAAGTCCATGTTTTGGTTCACTTTGTTTCATGCAATCCATCTTAAGAAGCAAGTGTCGCGACGCCCCTTCAACGAGCGCCTGCTCCACCAACTCGGGCATAAGCTCAGGCACGAGCTTGGATTGTGGAAAAGATCTACAGATTGCTTGGCAGCTAATTCCTTAAAAGTTCGGCGGCACCGCTTCCCCCTTTGTTGAGTGAGTTAACCACAAGAAGGGGTCAACCCCAAGGGCCGTTAACCCCCTCTTTCAAGGTTGAGTGAACCTGGTAACCTTCGAATGGGGCAATCTTCGTGCACAACAACCTCGGTAGAGATAAACAACCTCAGGCTTGAGGACACTTCTTTTTGCGCTTTCCTTGTCTGAGCTTGGTGAATGAGCTTACTTGGGAAGTGCCGAGGTTATATATGTTTTGAGGGGCATCCTTATTCATTTTACCAACTACATGATGTGTTGGCACAAATGTTCGTTGCCAAAACACACGCTTGACTAGCACTTGTCGGTCGTCCAGGTAGTCGTTTTAATTGTTACCTGGAACTTGAAAGACGGCCTAGTTGTGATCACACACAAACAGTTGAACGTTGCTTGCCATGCTGCCGCCATTGTGCATTCTTCGTTGGGAAGGCAACAATTGCCGTCCTATGTTTGTACATGCTCCACAAGGTCTACATGAGTCCGACATGTCAGCAATCAGGGAGCCAGGCAGAAAGAGTCAGCTACGTTGGTCTCCATGGTTCAGATACAAACTGATGGCGACCAGAAAGTGCACCTTGAATCTCAAATCGAGTTCAAGCAACAAGAAACTTCCGACACTGCTAGGTTGGGGCGAAGCCTTTTATTCAGGAGAACACCGCCCCAGCCCTGCCAGGGTTGATTTGTGCTTCCCACTCCCGACTCTAGCCCATCCCGCACCCCAATCCAAGCTTTGCCAGTCTTCCGTTTTAACGCCGCTGTTCAAAGACAAGGTTAAAGGATTTGGCATTTTTTAGTGATTGGCAAGTCACCGATTAGTTTCATTAGGTTTAAAGCCAATGACTCAGCTTAAAGCATTGCCCAGACCCATGACTTGGGTTTTTTCAGGCCAATGACTGGGGTTTTCGACTCATTGGCGGTCGACCCACGAAACGCTTCGAGTTATCGGGCGGTCCCCGGTCCGGTTGGGGTGCGGTTCGGCTCGCGGTTCCGATGATGTCGCCCACGGCCGCTCCCCGGGACCTCCGCGGGGTGCGGCTGGCGCTGGTCTTGGCGGCGCTGCTGTTGGCCCTGGCCGCAGGTGCCAAGGGGCATGGAATTTGTCCAGGTCCCCCAGTGCCATTCTCTCCCCTTTTTTGGTTGGGAGGGTTCCCCTACTAAAATAGACTACAGAAAAAAGGGTACCCTTATTCTAACCTCACTGGAGGACCTAGTTGTTTGGCTCGGTCAAAGGGTTGCAGCTTGTTTAGAATGTATTGGGGCCATTTCCTGCAGATTTGCCTGTAACCAAACCCTTTGATTTGGGTAGGAAAGCCAAAACTTACTCCCTGAGCTCCTGGACGGACTGTGAGACCATTTTAGTGGCAAACAGCAAGTCTGGACTTTTTTCTGCCAGTGAACTCAGGAAGTGAGAAAAGCAAACCAACCATTTGGCAAGTTGGTTTCCCTTTTTTTGAGAAACCAACCTGAACTTTGGGTGTGATATGGTTGTGTGTGTGTTTGCTGTTTTGAGGGTGCCATTGTTGGGGTGGTTCGAAGGCGAATCAACGGGAAACCACCAGTTTGGTGGTCCCCCATTCCGGGACGCACCCATGTGTGTTTAGAAGGAGGCCTTTAAGAAGGGCTGGGTCTACCTGAAAAGCCACCCAAACAGAGATTTCGGGGTTGGTTTCCTTTTCGGCTTTCTGCGTGGTTCTTGTGGAGGGCGGAGAAAGTTGAGGCAGGTTGCTTTGCCTTAGACCGGAGTCAAAACCTTTGGAGAAGTGGCATGCTTGGGGTCAGTTGTGGTCCATACGACTTATTGGACACCTGCGCCTGAGCATTTGACGCCCCAGTAAGAATGTCAAGCCAAGGCTCCTACTGCAAGTCGTCTTCCTCATGTGATAGGCGTTGGCCATGTGGCCCTGGCACCCAGCAACTGTTCCAACGAGCGACCCTATGGGTCTGAATTTTAACTAGAGACCCTTTGGTGGACATCATTTAGGGGATCCATGTCCACCAACCACTTTTGGAGGGGGGCTCCCTACTCATAGCACTACGGGCGCCATATTTGTGTCAAAGACCGTGGCACCAAGAAATATTTCGTCTCAGTCCCTATGCCGGAAGGTTTGAAGCTGCGGCAGTCCGGGAGTGGCCTGGAGTTGGCGGGCGCGCTGTGCGGGGGCCTGGCAGTGTCCGGCACCTCCTCGCGCTGCCCACGTGCCTCTTGAGGGAAGACGAAAGTCGCGATGCGGTGATTTGTCCTTGAGGGAACTGGAAAGACAGCTTCTGCATAGTCTTCAAGGCAACACAGCAGCAGAAGGGGATGTAATACGTTTGACTTTTTCAGGCACCATTTTCAAGGGCCATCCGCAGAACGTGGGTTGCGTATGTTGCTTCCATTGGACAAATTCAACTAAGCCGTTGCCTTTGCTACCTGTTTAAGAATGGCAACATAACTTTTTAACACTGGTGCAAAAGTTTGCAGCCAAACTCTGGATGTTTGGTTTATCCCCAAATTTTCGGTTTGCCAGCTTGCTCCATACTTTTGAGGCAACAGGAAACCGGTATTGGACAAGAGCTTGAATGCCAGGTGCAATCGATCCGTCGCCCTGAGCTCGGTTTCAGGACTGCTCAACTTGTTGTGAGTGACTCTTCCGCCCCTTGTGAAAAGTCAGCAGCACCCTTGTGACGTTCATTTCTCTTGGTGGTTCCCAGCCATTCTCTCAGCCTTTTGGCTTTTGAGGGTTCAGTGAGGATGTTCATTTAAGCCACAAGTCAAACTTTTGGCAGGGGATCTGAGAACGGCCTTTCAGAAGGCCGTCCAATTCCAGGTGCCGAACCACAGCTAAACAGAATCCAAGGTGAGTGCAAGGGCCCCATGCTGAGTTTCGGCATGGTGGCACACTTGGGTGCCGTGCTGGCGCTCATGGACGGCAACGTGGCTTGGCCACGAGGCCCCATGGGCTTCAAGTTGCACGGAAACAAGCCAGACGGGTCCCTCATTCAGGGCTCACTTTCGTTGAAATCCCTTTCCAGTGTTTGATCGGCTCATCGTTGATCCTGCTGGCTCGCTGTTGTGTGGGGAAGGCTCAACACCAATGGTACCATTTTGGGCTAGGTGCACCCTTTTTACTCTATTTTAGTGGTTGGATTGGGATGTTCACTGGGGGTACGGGCTATGGGCTTTTGACCCATGGCCGTTGTCAGGGTTTGTTCCAAACTCTTCCTCATGCACCGAGGTGCTCAGCGAGGCCATGTCTTTGCTGAGCCAATTCGCAGAGATGCCGCCTTTGGTGCCTTTGAGCTGCTGCGTGCTGTGCCTTGCGGTGCATTTGCTGAGCCTGGCATACCTGCCCGGATACGCACCTTGCCTCGCGATTCCCTTAAGAGGAGTTCACCCGCTTTCCCCGTCTTTTGGTGAGTTCCCCAGTAAGGATGGTTAATGCCCGACCTGGCAAAGGCAGATCGAAGTTGGTTTCTTCAGAGGAATCCCGCGTTTGGGGTTAGTGAAGCATTGTTAGATTGTCCTGGATTTTTCTCGATTGTCCAAGTATGACTTTAGGAAGAACATAAGCGGGGACACCCACTTTGTTCCTGAAAAGCCAGGGTTGGACACCAGGTGGCTGATTCCACCAATTTCACTGAAGGATGACATGATCAAGCTATGGTGTACGGGTTTGCGAGGGGCAAAGGTGGATATCACGGGGCAATTGGATGACCAAGCCGAAAAGGAAGTGCTCAGTAACCCTGGTTCATACGTTTCCTAGGTAGGGTTTGGTGAGTATTTTGAAACGGGGTGTAACTACCAAGCGTGAATCCTGAGTGGTATGGCATGGTCGTTCAAGGAGCATGCGAGGGGACGCCCCCAGGGATGGGACCCATGCCCGTGAAGGACAGCCGGTGTTTCTTTGCTTAGCGGTTTCAGGGTTCTCCAGTTCAGCCAGGCGTTTTGGAACCCGGGCTTCCAAAACGGGAAGGCCAAAGACCAGCAGTTCATCAGGAGTTGCAAATTGCCAACTTTGGCCTCCTAGAAGGGAGACAAGGGGATAACTCTGGATCCCATATTGCCCCTGTGTATGGTTCATGGGCAACTTCATGGATTGCCTGGGACATGTCCCCGAAACTGGCCCGGTTTCAAATATGGGTGCATATATGTGGCCTTTGGGATAGACTCAATGATTTGTGCTGGAACCACGATCAGTCACCAGCACGTTCCCAAGCGTGGCGGCACATGCCGCAGAAGCAGTTGCAAAAGGGGCCAACACGATGTTTTGCCAACCGCATTGGTGATACCCGTGTTTGGAGCCCGGTGTTGTTTTCATTTGTTGCACCTGCGCCAGGGTCTAACTTGCAAGTCTTCATCGGGTTGCACCTCGCCTATGATTTGGTGTTTGAAGATTTGAATGTTGTGGTTTCTTCTTGACGGTTGGTTTGAATCAACCTGCTCCAGGCAGGGTGTCCCAGTTTTCTTACAGTGACCATGCGGGAATATACCCAACTAGGGACTTACAACATGGTTTGTGTATTCTTTGCGGGCGTGGGCCAGATACTGGTTGCAGGCGCAGCGTGTATGTTATGTTTGCCGCACACTGTCAGGACCATGTTGGGAGAGACTGACTCTGAGGGACTGACTCTTCGATACATGGCCGTTGAAGTGGTGCAATGATTCGTAGCAGAGAGCGACATCAAAGTAATCCTGAGCAGAAAGTTCATGCCGCTCCCAATCAATACCAAAGGCAACCTTGCAAGCGGAGATAACTTGGGTCATACCCGCAACCATCAAGAGAAAGAGTCACCTTTTCGGGAAGATCATTTGCTTGAATGTTCATCCATTGCAGACCAGTGGAGCAACCATGGGCTAACCACTTGAAGGGCATTTTGCCATTGCCCAAACATCTCTTACAAACCCATGGTCCGGAAAACAAGTTTCTGGTCGTTTGACCATTTTTTAGGCTCCAGGTGCCGCGTTTTTCCCGTCCATTCGCCCATTCGCGGAGCCCCAGATCTGCGCTTCAGCTCGGTCCCACGGGGGCGCGGCAGACTGGACAGACCTGGAGCGGCGCTCTCCTGTGCCGGCCCCTTGGTCCGAGAGCGGGATGGGGATGGCGATGGCGAGGCGAACAAATACGGGCACCGCGCGTTTTTGGAGGGGGTCTACCCTTTTTCGGGTGGGCTTAAGGAAAACGACTTCTTCTTTTTTGGGTTGGGGGGGGAAACCAGGACATTCCATGTCAAAGATGGTGTGACTGCGGGTCGGGTAGAGGAGTTTTACAGGTTCCAAGTATTCACCCAGCCGAAGCATTCAAGGCAAACCACCCTGCCCCAAAAAATCCGCCAGCAGTGTAAGCCAACGCCTCAAGTTGATGTCAGCGATCCAGGTTCCTTGAATCCGCTCGCTATGCTCGGACTGGTTTTCGGGCCCAGGCACCGATGTCAGATTCTGCGGCAGCTCTGCTATCAAAGTTGTTGTATCAGCCTTCTCAGCACAATGGTCATGGTCTCAAAACTGCTCCTTCGAACCTAATCAACGTTTTTTACAGGTTTTCTTGTAGTGTTTTCCCACTACGATTTGCGCAGTAAGCGTATTGGTGTCCGCCAAAAAAAAACATGAAGAACCCAAGTTTGACTGAGGTTTGCTGCATCTCCGTGTCTATCCTCTCCTTTGCCAAGTTCACGCTGCTTACAGCCCTGATGAGCTCCCTTCTGGCAGGCCTCTACACGGTGCCCTTGACAGCACGTGGAAGCCGCGGACGCCGCGGAAGTTGGATCTTCCGGCTTTGGGCCGAACCCAGAAACCCATTGCCCAAATATCGGCCAGACGCTGGCTCGCTTGAAAGCAAAGCCAAGAAGAGGTTCCTTACAGTGACCAAACCCAATACACATGTCATTTGTTTATTTGTTGATTCATGGGGTTGGCCGGACCTCCGGATTGCCTCAGTTTAGGAACCAACATTGGAGTTTGGAGTGATCAAACACTCCGAGCCGTTTCCGGTTGTCACCAGTAGTCCCCCGATGCTTTCCATGTCACCATGTCTTAGGCCCTTCACAAGGCGCTTGCCAACTCATCGGGCAAGGCAGTTGCTCAACTACATAGGTTTCTACTGCCAATTGAAAGGGGCCCCCTTCACCCCATTGCTTTCCTTTTGTTTGTGCTCAGGGTTTTCGTGATGCAGCCAGGAATCTGGAAGGAGTGTCCGTTAACTGGGGGGTTCCTATGGGGAAGCTGGCAACCTCATATGTTTCGCACGTTAGAACCCAGCACTGTTGCACTCGATTTTCCTCTTTGACGCCCTCCCAAAGGGCAAACTTACTGCTTAGCGGCCTGATAAATGTTTTGAGAAGCTTGGGAAATGTGTTTGCTGGCAATCTGTTGGATTTATCGGTCTATGCCTCATTTGTTTGTTTGCGCTTTATGCAACCAAGGGTGCTTGGACGGTAGTAGCAATCAAGTAGTTGCAGGTAGCAATATGGTGTTTTGTGCTTGCACGTCATTTTCCACTACCTTGATCGCATTTCCTAGCTTGCACGGACATCATTGTTACTAGATGAGTTTGTGTTAATATTCATCATGGTTGCATTCATATACTACTATATATATACATATTCATGTACATGTTTGTCACAGAAGCCAAAGGTTGGATACCTTCAAACTAATGGGGAGTGCTTTCTGTTATGGGAGAAACCCTGAGCATGTGAGGTTTGTTCTAGAATATCGGTAGTCTGTAGTCCACTTGGGACATGGGGAGATTCACTAATTGTCCAACAAAATCCAGCGGACTGACCAATTATATGTTTAACGAAAAACCACGGGACCGCCCATGTTTTTTCAACAAACCCCAGGCGACTGACCCTTGTTTCTTAAACAAACATCACAACCCTGACCAATTTGTCTAGCAACAAATCCAGGGGGACGGACAAATTTTCCCGCAAGCACATTGCGAGCGCCACTTTGTCCATGTCCTGGGCGGGTTTGACGAGCCGAGGCGCTGCATCCGAAGGTGGTGGATTTGCTCTCCTTGCCTTGGGTGCCGCAGCTGCCAAGTCCCGGGCGCCTTTGGACCCGGCTTTAAACCAAGCAGACCAATGTCGAAAACAGATAAAAGCAAAAAGAAAAGAACAACAACATGTAGAAAGCAAATGTGAATGGGTGAAAAACCAGTTGTTTTTGTTTGTTTGTTTGTGTGATTCTCCATGGAAGCCGGCACAACGGCTCTCGATTTATTGGCCGGGGAGTACAAGCTTTCATGCACGAGACGTATTATCACCTAGGTCTCCCAGTAGTGCCCTTTTACTGTTTCTTTTTTGGGGGAGGGTTCCCCTACTAAAATAGACTACAGAAAAAGTTGGTAGCCTTATTCTAACCTCTCAACTGGAGGACCTAGTCACAAAGGGATGGCTTGTACGAAGCCGCAGATTTGGGGTCGGAAGGCAATCCGGGCCCTATGCGGTACCCTTGGTGGTGGGATTCCGAAGCAGCGCTGCAAGGACCAACATGGAGCCACTGGAGAACCCCATCTCGAAAGTTTCATGTTCAAATGGGGCCGACTTGCAAGGCTCTAAGGCTTGGTATTCTGTGTGATGAGATGGGAAGCTGAATTGCAAGGCGCACCTTGTGATTCAAGGCATCCGTAGGGTGACAAATGGGAAGCCATGACGGATTTGTGGGTTTCCATGGATTTTCTAGGCAACCCAACTACACCAGCTGGACAGTACGGTAGAATGCGGCAAGTCAGGTTGCACGTGTTTCCCAGGGAATCAGCCGAAGAAGCATGAAGACACTATGAACAAAGGACAATCAATGGCGGATCTACAAGTGCAGATGGTGGTCCAAGTTCTGTTCTTGTGGGTTTGACCTCTTGCATCCTGACTCAGACTGAGGGTGACACCCCTTATCACTTGTTGGGAAATCAGTTGCTGGAGGAAGTGTCCTTTCGGGCACATGTTTCAAAGGCAGCGACAGGCTTGTCTCAAAATGCCAGACTACCCCCCACCCTCCCCCCGAAAAAAAGGCGGGACTCCCTTGTGTTTCCTTTCAAAATCCGAGGAAGGAGTACCCTCAACACAAGACACCCATAGTATGAGCAACCGACCATATCACCAGCAACCCACAGGGAGCCACCAACGAAAGGGACCCGCCTCAACGGGAGAGTCCAAGCAAGAAATAATATAGGGCCCACCAAAATCCAACACCCCAGCAGTGTCCGTTGCTAAAAGGGAGGCTGTGAGGCTTAATTTAACCGCGAAGTTTGGATTGGGCACTGGGCTTCCATGCCCCCATTTCATTTGAAGCCAATGGCTCCCAAGACGCCCGAGCCCTGAGTCCCATGTTTGCGTAGGGATCAGGCCAGACGCGAGGATCTTAACGTTGAACTCGTGCCCCTTGAAACTCGGAATTCCTCTTTGATTGCATGTTTTCTTTGGGTAAGACTCGAAAACTGGCACTGCCCCCCCCCACCACAACCCATCTAATGGATGGAGCCCATTGAAACGTCCAGCCCAGGGGCTGGCCGCCGGCCTGTTGCCTTTGCCCCTTCTGAGCTGCGGGGTGGTTTGGGCCTGGCCCCCTGGGCGCCTCGGCTTCGGCTTGGCGCCGGTGGTGTCATGGGGCACACCAAAAGACAGCACGCGCTCGGAAGATTCTTTTCTGGCACATGGGCATGAAGGGCACCAGATCCAGGTTTCCAGAAAATAATGGTCAAAGAAATACACCCTCGATTGCTGTTGGTCCAATAAGCGAGTGGGATGAGTTCTGCCGAGAAGAAGGCCGAGTTGACTGAGTTTGCAACCTCGTTTTGGGCGGCGCACTAGTATCCAAGTTGTGAGAAGCGAGCTGGAGTTTCTGATTGGCGATAACCCTGATGCGTGGATGACAGCACTGCAGCTTGTGCGGCAGATGGGACAAGACTTCATGACTTCTTCTTGAATCTGGTTCAGGAAGCGCCCCTTGTCTGTTTGATTGTAAGTGCTGGATGAAGCCATGGCAAGACGACTGGGTGTGGTCAGAAGGTTCATTTGGAGAAGCTCATTTGCCCATGATTGCTACGCTCGTACTGAAAAACAGGCCATATCCACAAGATCAATCTCCAGGCAAACAGCCAAAAACCGGAATCAACAAACAAGCCTTGAAATCAAGGAATGAAGCAAACAGACAAGCAGCCTTAAAGAGGAAGGCTTCCGGTTTCACCGGTTCAATTTGTCCAAACCCCAGGGTGAGACCCAGCTCTGTCAGAGGCCCCGGGACCTGGACTTGTCGGGCCGGGCGCGCCTGGCGCGCCGGACTTTGGGCCTCGCCTTCTGCGGCGCCGCGGTGCTCTTCGGGGCCGCGGGGCCTCGGAAGGGGCGGGGGGGGGGGGGGCGGGGCGGCATGGGAACTGCTCGGCCCACGTCGTTGGCTACGGGGGCCATGCAAAAACCTTCGGGGACCAAAGGGCTAAGGGCTTGCCACCCCTCGAAAACCACAAGGAAAGTAGCGAAGGGTTGCCTACCTGGGGCCCCAAAACACTGTTTTTTCTTGGTCAAAAGGCTTTGCCCGAAAAAAGTGGTCATACGGCCAAATACGTTTTCCTTCGCTTTCTTTTCAATATTTTATCGACAAAATACGGGTTTTATACGGCCAAATACGGGCAACTCTGGCAAATGACCGAAAAAAACAACCTTTCGGGTAAAAACATGCCAAATATGCCTTTTGACCGAAAAAAAGTGGCGTTTCGGGGCTCCAGGTAGTATATGGGAAACTAACTGGGATCCTTTGGGTGTAGTTGCATTTGGGTGGCTCGTCCTTATTTTTCTCCGGGGTACAGCGGGTTTGAAGCGAACCCTGTTTCGTTTGTCCCAAAGACCGACTGGGACAACGACAATAGGGGTTTCAAGGGGAAGGGCTTGCCACCCTTTGACCAAAAGGAACATGGCGAAGGGGTACTTCCTATACTACTATACGGGTAACTGGGATCCACTGGGTGATTTGCATTTGGGTGGCTCGTCGTTGTTTGTTTTTCCTTCTTTATTTCTTCTCGGGGTAAACCAATTGGTGGGTGGTTTTAAAGGGAAACCAAACGGCCATTTTGCAGGGTCTTACTAAATAGACATACCCATCTTACTCCAGAATGCCGTCGCAGGGCAAAGTCCACAACCGTTTCAAGATTGCTTTGAGTGTCACAGGTGGCTTGTACACGTTGGCCTTTGATTGCTTTCGCTTTCCAGCAAACGTGTTGCAATCCTTGCTTCATGGCCTTCGGAGCAAATCTCTGAAGGTTCTTTGGAGAGGGGTTGAAGCAAAAGGGGGCTTGCTTTTCAATTCTTCCGCCTTCTCCAACCCCTTGGTGTTGCCAGCGTTGTCATTAATGACCGTGGGTCCTTCTTGAAATGCGCTGCTACTGTTCAGAGAGGAGTGGGGTCCTCCAGGGCCCAAAATGTTACAATATCCTTGAGGAAGTTGCGACAGCATCCGGAGGCTTCAATGTGTCAAGCTAAGCTTTCCGATAGTCATGACGATGAGCCAAGCCTCAAGCCAAAGGGCAACGGATTCACAATGTTTTTCTCGGGCACACAGAGTTTGACCATCAGGCCTTTGCTTGGATGCCTGCCCTAGAAAAATAGACACATGGATGCAGGTTTTGCTGAACATGGCCCTAGCCTAGTGGTTGACGGTCCAAGAGTTAGGTTAGGCCATGCGCAACTTTTTTCGGACCCAAAAGTCTAGGGTCCACCCTAGGTTTTTTTGCATTTTTTGAATAAGCGCCCCAAAACAGCCATTTTAAAACATTTTTTGAAACAGTCTAAACACATTTTGATAAATATTTCTTTAGTACAGCATACCAAAACGAAAATTGAATTATTTTTTGAAAAATTCAATACACCTAAACATGTTTATTTTCAAAAACACATATTTTCCAAAATATTTTAGAAAAAAATATGTTTTTCAAAAGAGATAAATATATATGGCATTTTAAGAAGAATTATTCAATAAGAAACACCATTTTCAATAATTCAATGAGAAGACTTAATAATTAATCATTTTTCAACATTTGGATATTCCGAAGTTGCGCGTGGTCGCATAGCTTGCGAGCTTCGCTAACGCTCGCATCCTCCTTGTATGATTTTATCTTCAATATATAAAACGCTATACTGACAATATAATTATAACATATAAGGGTATAAATGTTATAATCATAGTATGGTTTTAATCATTTAAAAATCGGGGCTGTATTTCATTTTGCATTCGTGTTTAATATTTATTATAATGGCATATAGTTCTTGATAATTTTTGACTGGACTGAAGCCAGCCTTTCTAAATAATTCTTTGATGTTTAACTCTGTTGTTGATTGTCCATTATAATACTGTAAATGAAAAACATAAATACGTTTCATTAAATTATATCTTTGTTTAGACAATTTAGGAAAACTACTTTTATCTGGAAATTTACATTGTATAACAAACAACCAGTTTTTTTTTTTTATATTTGCATTGTTCAAGAGTTCGACATTATGATTTTGAACACATTCAATCTCACGAATTGGTTCTTCTCTTCTTTGACAGAAAATACATTTATAAGTAAATTTGTAAATATGATTTAATATATTATTTGGTAAATTTATGTGTCCAATGTCTCTATATTTGTTATGATTTAAGTAGTTTTTCATTTACAAGCATCACATTTATTTTTGAGTTCTTGTTTAGTGTCATTTACTAAAACAATATCTAATAATTTATTAATAAATTATTATTGCTCTTTCTCTGTAAATTCAATCATTCCTATTATAATATATATAGTGTTTATTTCTTTAAATACTTTTTTACAAGAAATAAAATTAAATATTGAAATATAATTATAACATATAATATTTTACATGTTATTATTATAGTATGGTTATAATTTAAGTTCAGGATAACTATTTAATTGATATATCTTACCTCTTTCATACATCATTTTAATAATAATATTTGTATCTCTAACTGTATTTTTGACATTAAACTTTTCACTTTCAATATATGATTTAATGATTTTGTTTACATCAAACCCTTCCTTTTTATGATAAATCAATGCCCATAATATGTAGTCAATAATTTCATACTTTTTCTTACTGATTTTAAGAAATGCTTTAACATAATCATAAGGTGGTATTTTATACACAGTTAAAAATATCAAAATGTCATCTTCAACATTTCTTTCATTAAACCTTGTAATCTCCACATTACATTCGATTGCTTCTTGGTAATATCTCCAATTTCTACAAATTGTACATCAATTTTCTTTACCCAAAGAATAATCAATAATATTATTAACCATTCCATTAGGTAAATTTATTTTTTATAATTCCATGTTTTCTTTTTTGAAGTGGCAACAGTCGTAGCATTTCTTATTGATATAATTATTGATTTCGGTTTCCACCATTGCTATTATAATATATATAGTTGTTATTTCTTTAAATACATTTTACAAGAAATATTAAACTATTATTTAAATTATTATCATTTACAACTACAATTGCACCTAACACAGTAAGGAATAATATTATTCAGTTCGTGCGACAACTCGTTTGATTTACGTTGCGCTGTCAGATTTGTCACTATATTACCGTTTTTAATATCCATAGAAAAACCGCATCCGCAGTAATTACATTGATTAGTGATATTATTTAAAAACCATTGCGCATTTACATAACCTTCTTTGGGTATTGTTCTTTTGGCTTTCCTGTCTTGTTCTTTGTAATTCAATATTTTCCTTTCAACATAACTCATAATACATTTTTGATTAAATACATCATCAATATCTTTCGTATATTTATAAAGTTTGACTTTGTTTAAATCTCTACATCTTGTAATTGCTGTCCATATCCATTCTGGATAATTATTTACCAAAAAATGATTATAATCAAAAATTGTTATGGTATCATCAATGCTACTGCCTTGGGCAGAATGACATGTCGAGCAATATGCAAATATAAAATTACTTGTTGTTTTATCAACTGGCAAAGACTGTAGAATTTCAGTTTTAACATTTTTCAACGTAAATATTCCATCGCTTCCAATATGAACAATTTTATATTTGAAATTTACATTAAACACTGATGTTTTAGTTGTTGTATATTCGCGACAGATTAAGAATTTTCCGACTTGATATTCATCTTTTGTATTTTCTAATTTTCTAATTTCATTTGATACATTTTTACAAGTTGTATTTAAAAATGCTATGTTGTTGATAGATTTGCTTATGTCAGTTGTATATTCAAAGTATTTTTCAATAACTTTCATAATAGGTAATTTATTTTCAAAAACATCAATTTTAATATTTCTTAGTTTATCTTTATCTTCCTGTGTGTTAAGTCGCTTACATTCTTTTAACAAAATATTATATTCAAAAATGTTATCTATAATATTATCAGTATATAATTCATAGTCTCGAGTATTTGTTATCTCTTGAACTGGTTTTAATTGCTTGGTGTCTCCTGTTGCTATTATAATTTTGTTGTGCTTATTCTGCTCTGCAAATTGTTTTATTCTCCAATATATATTTAAATTACTGAAATAAATTTCATCGAATACAATTTCATCAAATTCTGTAATATCAAATGGTTCTAATTTAGCATCTCCATAATTAATACCGCAAAATTTATTTATTGTCATTGCTTCGCCTTCGAATGCCTGTAATAGTTTATTAGTAGGACAAATAAAAGTTACATTATAATTTTTATCAACCATTTTTTGACATATACTTTAGAGCCTCCGGCTCAGTCCGCCGACATTGTCCTCTCCCTTTTCTCCTTCTTCCTCTCTTCCTTGTCTCCCTCGTGTGTTCTGTCGTTCCTCTCTCCCTCCCTCTGCTCCCATCCTCCCCATCCCCCCAAGCCTCTCTCTCCCCACTCTCCCTATGTATGTATGTATGTATGTATGTATGTATGTATGTATGTATGTATGTATGCATGTATGTATGTATGTATGTATGTATGTATATGTATGTATGTATGTATGTATGTATGTATGTATGTATGTATGTATGTATGTATGTATGTATGTATGTATGTATGTATGTATGTATGTATGTATGTATGTATGTATGTATGTATGTATGTATGTATGTATGTATGTATGTATGTATGTATGTATGTATGTATGTATGTATGTATGTATGTATGTATGTATGTATGTATGTATGTATGTATGTATGTATGTATGTATGTATGTATGTATGTATGTATGTATGTATGTATGTATGTATGTAATGTATGTATGTATGTATGTATGTATGTATGTATGTATGTATGTATGTATGTATGTATGTATGTATGTATGTATGTATGTATGTATGTATGTATGTATGT